AAATGTTGGAAGAAAAATTCCACGGTGCAACACTTACCAAGTAATGCCACTGAGAATTACATTATTGATCTCATGGCAAAATAATCATCAAATTCTTCCAATCAGTGTTAATTTAGAAATTTAAGAGCTTGTTTTAGATATTCCTGAGTGTGAGGTGACAAGTCAGCTCTCAAATCTATACTGGCTCAAAACTGTCAGTTACATTTTGATCCCCTTACACTTTCAATATATATATATATATGTTGAATATATATTTATATATTTATATATTCAATAAATTTGTTGGCTGTGTAGACTAAAGTTAAGAGTTAAGGTGAAGAAACATTAAGAGAAAAATCTAGTACAGAAATGTTTACCTGACTTCTAAACTAAAAAAGAACTACGGCAACTATAATAAAAGATGTGTAGAATCAAAACACAGTGTAAGGTTTGGTCATACAGACAGGCCCCTATGTTTTGAGTGGAAGGACATCTGAATTATCCTCTCAAAGGAGGGACTCATTTGGGGGTGCCCTGAAGTGATGGCATGAAACTTATAAATATTTCTAAGGCTACTCCTTGAGATTCACTAAGATTGGCTCCAGACTTCATTAGCCTTTTGTCAGAAGTAGTTTTCCACATGCCTGACTTAAAATCCATTAACAATACTGTGCTTATTATTTAGTGGCTGCTATCTATCTTTAGGTGTTTGCTAAGAATTTCTATAGAACTGTATAAGGTGTACACACACACACACACACACACACACACACACAGCCTAAGGGTTCTCTAACAAAAATAATCAAATAATCTTGGTTCTTTAAAAAATTTACTCATTGCTTTCAAAATGTTTAGTCACAGTTCTCACTTTCCTTCGATCTCTAAGTGCTTCATGTTCTAGTACAGGCTCTGCTTTTCTTGAAGCACATGGACTAGCGCTGTCAAGCTTTCAAGTTTGCTTCAAAATACTGCAGTCATGTTATTCAGGATCATATCTACGAATGTTTTTAGTCTTAAAACCTTCCCCTGCATTTATGCTATTTCATGGAGCATCCTTAGTTCTAGCAGTCGACGACAGGACCAGTCTTTTTCATTATCACGGCTCAAGTTTATCAAGATTGCTCTTTTCTAACCATAACAGTAGTAATGGTGGTTTCAAGCCATGCTTGTTGATTATTAGGATACTTTTTTAACAGCTTTGTGCTTTTGTTGTTTCCACTGGCTGGTGTTGACTCTCTGAAATCCACTGAGTATGATTTTTACTTACTTATTTATTAATGTCACTGTGTCATGTCCTGTCACCCTCAAAGTAGATGATACTCCTCACTTGTCTTCACTTTCGCTGGTCTATCATCCTGCCATAAAAGAGTTAAATCTGTCAGATTTAAAAGTCTTGTTACTTACTGATGAGCTCATCGACTCCACCCTTAGTATTTCCAGTACGTAATTCTGAATGTAAGGGAAATGGCGCTCAGAGAGGTGAGCATAGTGCCATTTCCCTCATGACCCCATGCTTGTCATCAGAGATAAGAGCAACATTAAAGATGCTCTATTTTCTATTCTGAGAAGATAATTATATTAATAATTCCTTCCACTTTGGATAATATTGTAGTTTTCTACTTATTTTTTTAATATGATTATATTTACAGACCCAGAGAAGTTTAGCCATTTTTACAAAGGTCAGTAAATGGCAAAGCCAGATTTTGAGCCAGATATTCGAACTCCAAACTCATTCCATTATATTCACTACAGTTCTTACTTTGGCTTTTTTATGATCTTTAATATGTTTGCCATTACTTATGCTTCTTAGCTAAACATAGATGTTTCCATAGCACACACTAAAGCCACGTAATGTCAGATGTTAAATCAATACTTAATTTTGCCTTATCAAGGTATTTGTTGCCCTCCACAGCAGAAGTGTATTTCCACTTCTAACTGAAGATTTTTATTTTCAGAACTGAAAGTTAACAGTGCTAAGTCTACTAATTGGGTTAATTGGCTAGGTATGTTCTAGCCTATCTCCTTAATTAGGGAATTCTTCCTTTGGGGGTTTAACCAAAGATACCTCAACCATGTAACTTGTCACTGATGATACTTATGTTAGTTTCCCATGCCATTTTCAGTAAACTTAAGATGTGGAGGACTTTCACAACCAGAGCATGTTTAGTTCTTAGGAACCATAGGATAGGAAGAGTAACACAGCAATATCCAATCTCTCTGGCAAAGAACATTACAATACAGTAGAGAATTCTGAGTTCTCTGACTGTAGACTGTACAGTGAGTTCCGTTCAGCTAATCTCACAGTCGTGCTGTTAGTTACAAGAGGTTTACAACAGAGAGTATGGTTAGCTCACCACTATCAGAATGTAATCGTCATGTTCACCTTAAGAGTATGCCACCAACAATAACAACGAACTCAACAGCACACCCCATATTTCAACTGACAGGGTAATGAAACGACACATTAATACTAGTTAACACTAGTTAATACTAGTTAACTAGCTAACACTAGGAGCACTGGCCAATTTAAATGCCTACAAAGTGATAGTAGTATTCAATCTTCCCCACAGTAATGAAGCCTAGACCTGCCATCAACATCCTGGCTGGGCAGGCTGAGCAGTTTCATCACCATCATCAATGAGTCACCTTAGCAGAATAAGGTCACCAACAATGAGGACTGGGAATGAAGTTAATTATATCTGAAATAAAGTTACCATCTTTGCATCTTAGCTCTGCCGGGCGAGACGTGAGAAGAACAGATGTCAAAACTGTTATATACTGAGCCTATAAAGGAGCAAATACATAGTAAGAAGGCAAGAGAAAAAAAAATCCCCCAAACCAGAACAAACAAAAAACAAAACTAGCCCAATTAACACTTCAAGAATTCCCTGAGATGAGCCAAAGTAATGTGGAAAGTTGTGGCATATACCAACAATGGCATATACAAATGATGGTTCTTTCTCCATTTGTGGGCCAATATTAATTCATGATGAACAAAGAACTCATGCTTTCAAACAGACTTCTGTCACTTCCTTCACATGTACTCTAAGTAAATGCTATGAAAAAAAAAAAACAACACATTAGGACACTGTTGGGTTTTTAATCATCACTGTATGTATACATACAGATATACATATAGAAAGTAGCAGCAAATTTACAAATGAAGAGCAACAGTATTATGTCAAAAGCATATTCGGTTTCATCTGAAATCCTCAAATTACAAATAAATTTCCAGATGATGCCTTATTTTACTCTTGCTGTAGGCTGGATAGCTTAAGGCATATTAAAAATTAACTTACTGGACAGTAAGTAGTCGAGTTGATGATAAAACTAAGAGTCTCATTACTTACAGTGTAGTTCCTTTCTAGCAAAGTCTTAATAAAAAATTCTTACTACTCTGAAATTCAGTAGGATATTGAGTGTAACTAAATATCTATATTACCTAATACATAAGTATCTAAAATACCAAATGACTTCCTGATGAGTGGATTAATTCATAAGTCAGTCATAATTTTAGGAAGTATATTTAAAACACACTTCAGACTACAATATAGAGGGGATTATTACTAATGCCTACAACAGACCATTCACATACAGAGGAAGTGAGCAATTATTACATATGAGTAAAAGCCTGGGAAGAGGAGAATCCCACAAAATCCCTTCCCTCAACAGAGATAATGATGTAGGAGGCAAAGGCATCAATAAACAATTGTAGCATGTGGTTAGCACCATTATGAAGACTGAAATGAAGAATCACAAAAGTTCATACTCAGAAGTTAAGTCCTAAAAGACTGAGAAGATATAAAATATAGAAGGAATTTCTAGAATGTTCTCAGAAGCAGTGGCAGCATAAGAAAAAAGGGAGCAATTAGGCATTCTCCCAGATTTTCTGGCATGTCTGATTAGAAAAAAATTAACCAAATTGCTCGGAGAGAACAAAAGTGAAAAACAGGATGACTTCCTCTAGGCTGAAATGTCAAGTAGGTAGTTCAAAGGGGTCTGAAATTTTGGACCAGATATGGAACACAAAACATGGATAACACAGAAACCTAAGGATGAGATCGTTCCAGAAGCATTCTGAAAACAGAATCTGAGAGTCTATTTTAGTAGATACACTTTAAGTAGAAGTTATGTGACTGCACTCAAAGTTATGGCAGAGGATGACATCTTCAAGGGACACCATTTAGGAAAGGCTGCTCAATGGTGTAAATATTACAGAGACAGAAGGATAAGTAATCCAGACTGAAAGAAATAATCATTCAATTCTGTAACTGAGAGTCCACTGAGAACAGTTTCACTGAAGTGTGTAAAACCAGACTGTAAGGTGCTGAAGAGTGAGTGATGAGGATGTAGAGGGAATGATACGGATTTCTCCAAGAGGTCTGGCAGTGAAGAAGGCTGGAGAAACCAGCAGGCCGAGAGGGACTTTTTTGCTTTGGAGGATACATAAACATTTTTGTGGACATGAAAAAGGAACCAGCATACAATTCTTTGCATAATTCTGTATTGATCACAGCTAAAAAATTATTTTTAATCTTTTTCAAAAACATTTTCTGAAAAAAAAATTAACACAAAAATACGTATTTTACCATTTAAACTTAATATAAACTTAAAAGCACTAACATTTTATACATTTTATCTCTCTAAAAGACTTGTACAATTTTTGTTAGACTGCTTCAGAATTTTGAAATTCAGTAGGATATTGAGTGTTATTTCCTAACATGTTATTTCCTAACACTCAATATCCTAGACTGCTTCAGAATTTTGCTTCATCATGAGAAATTAAACTTTATTAACAATTGCTATATTCATTCCAGAAAGATTCGTCTGATATACAGGATTATACTTAAGTAATTATGTACGCCTTCTTCCCCAGCCCTCCTCCCCAAAGACAAAAGTATCTTCAGGGTTGTTAATAATTTGGATATTTTCAACTTGAAGAGAAGAACAATTAGAAATAGTATTCCATTATTTTTAAGTTAAGATCTAAATTGCTCTTCACAATTATTTTTCAGTATTAAACATGCTTATTTATTATATACACATGCTTACATATGAATTTCCTGGCTAAAACACATGCAACCAACATGAAAGAACAAATATTAAACCATCCTCACAATCCTAAGAATGCCCTTTTAAATAAGGCACTCATGTTTGGAAACAGGATATAGCCACCAAATTAAATAAGATGTTTAAAAGAAGCCTTTTATTAAGCACAAACAACTTTTAATACATTATCAATACAAATAGGAAAATGTCCTTTAATGAATATGATATATCAAAGATCTGAAAGTTTTCTTCATACTGACACAATAAAAATAATCAATTTTGAAGAAGAATTACAAAGTAAAATTTTTGATATACCACTGTCTACTAATAACAATTTAACTACAGTCTAAATTTACTACATCACCTGGGGAGGAAGGTCAACCATTTTTTATATAGAGAATTCTTAAACTCTTATTAGCACCATTCAACGCTTATTATCAGTTGTTCATCTACAAATTGACAGGTCAGGTAAAGCTTTAAAGCAAGTTTTCAGTGCAGTGTCTACAGTTCCTTCTCTTAAGATACTTGGAGTCTATGGTCTCAAAGCAAGTTAAGTAATGATGCCTTGTAGTTGCAAGGTGTTAACATGTAGAAAGAAATGAAAAATGAAAAGAAATGAGGCTTATCCTGGCTGTGAAATGTATCTTAATGTATTGCGGCTAATATGCTGTAGTACGCCAACAACATGCGGGACTATGAACTGCAGATTTGTGGGAAGCTGGTAGCTATGAGCTCTCTGTGGCCATGATTTCGGGATGTCTCAGCTGCTGCCTTTTGAGACTAACCAGTTTCATCCTGTCTCTGATGTGTTCTGCAGTGGAAGCCATGTCACTTGGGCTCCCAAAATATTGTTCAGTTCTAAAAATCAAAACAAACAGAAAAACCGCAATCAGATTCATACAAATCCATGGACTACAGCAAATGCAAAAGGGAGCAAAGATTACCATAAATATTATACAAGTGATAAGACAGTTCACTTGCAGACCATACTGTTTACCTTTGAATAGTAATTCAGTGGGAGGAATATTTTTAAATGGCATTAAATATATTAAGACATGTTGAGAGAAAAAGCCTAGTGGCATTAAATGTTGTATCATATGTACTTATAATAATCTCAATAAATCAAACAATGCAACCAAACAATGAAACAATAAAGGAAACAATGCAACATTGGAGATATTCTACCTTTCAGTTTTGGGTGCATATGCATATACAAATATAAAATCTGTATGTGTTCTTCAAGGATAAGGGCTATGTACACCAAATGTGTGTCTAATATATGTCTAATATAGCTGGCAAGCGAAATATCTGTTTAATGTTAAGGGATCATTTGAGACTTTAAAAGATAAAATCACTTAATGTTATCCTACTTAAAAAGGTACTGTATTCAGAGTCACAGAATCTTTTAGAGCTAGAAGAGTTCTTAGAAATTATTTGGTTAAGGTCTGTATTTTTTAAGATCAGAAAACTAAGGCCTAGAAAATTAAATGATTTAACTAGGATCACACAGTGGGAAAACCAACATTTGAACTGGAGTCTTCAAGCAGTGAATCCAGACAGACCATCTAATTTCTTTTATTTTTCCAGGACAGTGTTACGAAAGATACATCTGAATACGCTTACTGTCAAACAAACTATACAGTGTCAACAAGTTATCCATTTTTATGACAGATTAACAATTTCAAATATTAAAGGTGGTGGTTGTGAAATGTGAATACACAGTACTAACTTATTCCTCAATCTTAAAAACATGAGGAAATGCTATAGACTATTTGTAGAACACAGGAGGAGGAGGAGAAGGCCAAGCAAAAATCCTAGTTATAAAGGCTCCCAGGCTGACCTGAGTAGAAGAGAGATAGTGTTAACAACCAGTTGTGAAGCACAGAAATGGGGATGGGGACTCCCTGGAATGGAATAACCAGAAGGTATCCCTTCAATACTGTTGCAAGCTAAATTTATAAATTTTTAGATTTTATTCTTTTACACTGCATTGCAGATATCTAATACAAATTTAGGCTACTTCTGATGGTTTAATTTTGGCTATGACCAAAGATTATCTAAATATAGACTATGAATTATATGCTTTCAAGGGAATAAAATTGTATCCTCCCAAAATCAATTTCAAATAATCACTTGAAGTTCATGACACAGTAGTAGTGGCACTTACTATGTGTCAGATTTGGGGTTTTTTTGTTGTTTTTTTCTTTTTTTTTTTTTTTTTGAAGATTTTATTTATTATAGAGAGAGCATGCAAGCAGGGGAAGGGAAAGTGGGGGAGAGAATATCTCAAACAAGCTGTGTGCCCAGCACAGACTCTGGGCTGGATCCCACAACCCCTGAAATCATGACCTGGCTGAAACGAAGAGTAAGACACTCAGTTGAATGAGCCATCCAGGAGCCCCTGTGCCAGATTCATTGTAAGTAATTTATATACATTTAGCTCATGTAATTCCCTTGCCCCTGTAACCTGAAAAGGTATGAATAATATATCCCTAATTTTTAGATGACGGAATTGAGGCACAGAAAGGCTGAGTGGCTTCCCCAAGGTGTTACAGCTAGTAAGTGGCGGAGCTCAAATTTAAACCCATGAAATCTGATTCCAAAGTTCACAATCCTATCAATTACTCTACACTACAGAGTAAAGATAAATACATTCAATGATGTGGTTGCTCTGTCATTTGAAGTAAATATCCTCTGGATTACCTCTAAATTATTTTCACTGAGGTCAAGAACCTCAGGGATGAAGCTCCTTCAGATTCATTTAATGGCCCATTTATTTACATGAGATCACTTCTTTCTTTTATTAACTTTCAAAATGCAAAGCAATGTGGGAAGCAGGACCCCATCATTTTACAAGTGAAGAAATTCAGATTCCATATAGCATAGAGAAAAGAGAATGTGTTCAGAGTTGGACCAACATGAGACTGTATTCCAATTCTACTTAGAAGCTGTGAAATCCTGAGCACCTCACTTAATTTTTCTAAGCTTCAGGTTTCTACATCTGTAAATCAGGACTAACCATACTGGTCTAGTACTGTTTGGTCAAAAATAACGAAGTGAAGCGTTTAACTTGGTGTTTAATATATTATCAGCTAACTGAACATTACGGCCCTGCACTCCCCTTCCCTGCGCCAGACGCTGCCCAGAGGCATCCTACTCCCTCTCATCAGGGCTGTGGCTAGAACCCAGGTTATCAGCCTTCTGCAATAAGCTGTCAAGAAGCACCACATTTGATAGTGTCGAGTACCAACTGCTACTGTTGCTAAGAGCTAAGTTTATATTTCTTTTCATTACAAACCAATTTATTGTGAAACAGAAGGTATGAGCCAAAGCTAATTTACTTGGCTTTTAAAAAAACAGATAATTCCTCTCTTGATGATTTCACTTTAAGACTTCACCAATAAAAAGACAAAATTATAAGAACATGTATCATACCCATCAGGATAAACTACAGGAACAGTTAATCTATCCAAAAGTGATTTCCCAACTGCTTCAATCTCATCAAATTGCTCCTCATCATTAATAGCTTCAGGCTCTTCTGGACAGTCTTGCAAAATCTGTAACAAGTAAAATGGCAACCTCGATCAAGAGATAGAGAAAGGCAATCAAGCTCATGTGAATTCAGTAGATTGAAGCTGTTTTTGTTTCATTCTTAGCATCCCCATGTACACCACCATTGCGCAAGACTGATTACTAGCAAAGTTGGCTTAAAAAATTCAAATAAAATGAAACACATAATCCTTAATCATAATAAATAATTGGAGTAAAAAAAGTCTATAGTGACTTCTAAGAAAAAAATAATACTAGACTATTATTCGGAAAGTAAGTTTAAACTGTGCTTGAGAAATACCCTTCATTCATTCCTTATTGTACTAAATGTTTATTTAGCAGCTTTGGATGTGACTGAAATACAGATTGTGACCTCAAATAGCTTACAGACTTCGAAAATGAGAGGAAAATATAAATCCAAAACAACATATGCTTACACTACAAATAACTGATGGGATGACCTACATAGGCACAGTTATTTTAAAAACTGATCTGCTGACTTACCTGATATAAACTGGTAAGGTTATGATTCAAATACAGGAAGTTCTACAGTTCTTGATAAAATACTATTTTCCATAACTATTAACATTTAAATTTAACAAGGGGAGGAGAAGAAGGAAGAAACTGCTATAATTTATAATAGCTAAGTCTATAGGTACTGATCCACACTAGTCAATCCATTAGCAAAAAGCCTAGTGAACACTTGAACAGTGGCTAGTCCAAACTGAGATGTGTTGTAAGTCCAAAATATACACTACATTATAAGAAAAAACTGCAAAATGTGGGGAAGAGAGAAGAAAAAGAAGTATTTATTTTTGCAATTGTTTTTGCATTATACTTAATATAATCTGTTTATTTCAGCACTACTCATAAATAACTTTATATAAAATCCTAGATTCAACTTAAAATATCTTTGGGAGGGAGACAAACCATAAGTGACTCTTAATCTCACAAAACAAACTGAGGGTTAATGGGGGGAGGGGGTTGGGGGGGGGGGATTATGGACATTGGGGAGGGTATGTGCTATGGTGAGTGCTGTGAAGTGTGTAAACCTGGCGATTCACAGACCTGTACCCCTGGGGATAAAAATATATGTTTATAAAAAATAAAATTTAAAAAAAAAATCTTTAAAAAAAAAAATCTTTGCAGTCATTATACTATACAAGTTGTTTATAGTTATATTTATGCTTACCAGTATAAAATAAAATACAGTCAAGAAGAAAATTATACCTGATAACAAAAAGCTTTACAAAGGTTTGAGTAGTAAAGAACCTTAAATTGTGCTTGCTTTAAGTATAATAAAGGCAATGGAAGAGAATATTCTATGCAAAAAAATCTCTCAACCATTTACATTCTTATATGGCCTCATAAAGAAGTCTAGATCTTCATGTCCTTGCAGATACATTTTAAGTTTTTACTGAAATTCCATTCAATTAACATAGAATGTTATTAGTTTCAAGTGTACAATACAGTGGTTCATCACTTACACACAACACCTGGTGCTCACAAGTGCCCTCCCTAATCCAATCACCTATTAACCCATTGCTCACTCACCTCCCCTGTGATAACATCTCTGTTCTCTATAGTTGAGTCTGTTTTCTTGGTTCACCTCTCTTTTTTTTCCCCTTTCCTCATTTGTTTGGTTTCTTAAATTCCACTTGAGTGAAATCATATGGTATGTGTCTTTCTCTGAATTCTTTCGTTTAGCATAATCCTCTCTAGTTCCATCCATGTAGTGGCAAAGGGCAAGATTTCATTCTCGGCTAAGTGATACTCCATTGTGTGTACACTCCACATCCTCTTAACCTATTCATCTATGAATGAATACTTGGGCTGCTTCTGTAACTTGGGTTATTGCAGATAACGCTGTTATTAACATCAGGGTACATGTATACTTTAAATTAGTATTTTTGTATATTGTATTCTTTGGGTAAATCCCTAATAGTGGGATTGCTGGATTGAAGGGCAGTTCTCTTTTTAACTTTCTGAGGAACCTTGTACTGTTTTCCGGAGTGGCCTTGCAGATAACTTTTTTTTTTTTTAAAGATTTTATTTATTTATTTGACAGACAGAGATCACAAGTAGGCAGAGAGGCAGGCAGAGAGAGAGGAAGAAGCAGGCTCCCTGCTGAGCAGAGAACCCGATGCGGGGCTCAATCCCAGGACCCTGGGATCATGACCTGAGCCGAAAGCAGAGGTTTTAACCCACTGAGCCACCCAGGCACCCCGCAGATAACTTTTTAAGATACTGCTTTCAAAATGTATCAGTAGTGTTAGATATTGGGCCAGTAGTCACCCTTGGACAGGAGGCAGGGGCAGCAGGAACAATGTGACTAAAAGAGCTTCTGAGGTGCTGGGAATGTCTGTTGTTTGAATAGTGCAGTGATTTCACAGGCATGCTCACTTTGTGAAAATTCATTGAACAGACTGAATTCAACAAACATTTATGATCTGTACACTTTTCTGTGTTAATATACTTAAATAAAAACTTTTCATTAAAACAATCAGTAGGGGCACCTGGGTGGCTCAGGTTGTTAAGCGTGTGCCTTCGGCTCAAGCCCTGCATCAGGCTCCCTGCTCAGCGGGGAGTCTGCTTCTCCCTCTCCCTTTGCCCCTCCCCCAGCTTGTGTGCATTCTCTCTCTCTAATAAATAAATAAAATCTTTTTAAAAAAATAAAACAATTAGTAGATAAATAGGTGAAGCCATTTATATACTTTCACCTTCATTATTGTTAGGCCTATTTTAAACCAAAACACTGACCTGTGGAGTTCTGTGACCAGCTCAGCAAGAGTTAACTATAAACACTTCCCAACAGAGGTACAGTAGAACACTGCGCAATTCCTGAATTCCTGGTCACATCTCTTCTGTTCTACAGACTAGGCTATATCACATTTACGCCTTCAGTTTCTCACATTTCATATTGTACTGAACATCCCCTACACATAAACTTCCATTGTGAGAGATCAAAACAAAGTTAACTACATAACAAAGCTCCTCTTCAGAGTGGAGATGTAAGGGTTGAGTGCTATGAAGTTTCTCTGTGCAGTTACGAGAAGGGCTCTAATGAAAATCTGCCCAAGTAACACTACATATTGCATTTCTGGTTTCCAGGACTAATAAATTCATGAAATAATAAATTCTAGAATGAATCTTTAAAGATAACAAATGAAAAAGAGGTTTTATTTTTATCTTTATTCTCATTATTTTTGGCTGAGTAGTCTATACTTTAAACCTTATAAAATTACAAAGTGCCCTTTTAAAAAATTTATGACAATTAGTTGTAGTTGCTGAGGCAAAATGTCCTTTCCTTGCATAATGAAAGCAATGGGAGTTGTGACACCCTAAAGATAGCTCATTTTGGGGGTCAGATTTGGTAAGAAGAGAAGCACTGTTGAGAGAAGACTCTTAGATGGTTTTGGATTTCTCAAACCACAGTAAGCCAGCATTGGTATAGATTATACTACAAGAATTTGATTTGAACTCTCTAAGACAATATATTATATCTAAAACTTTAAACAATGGGATTAAAATAAGGTGGAAAAAACACAAAGGCTAATCACATAATTATAATATTACAATTAATGCATTTTAAACATACAAAGTAAGTATTACTTTCGAGACTACAATTTTTAAAAAAGCGAACCTTTTCAGCATTTGAGTGAAATGCAATAGCCATTTCCAGCCTATGCACTCTCTCTTCAGATGCTATTGTAAATTGTTTCCATACTCTGTTCAGTCGAGGAAGTGTGTCTCCAGATGACCGAGATGTGCAGCGCAGAGACTGACACAACACCACCGTGGCCTGTAGCAACTGTCTGCCGTAGTCATAAGTGCTCTAAAAAAGAAAAAGTAAACGTGAAATTATAGTATAAGAATTCTGAAAAGAGAGACAGGAAAGTGTGCAGGAAGGACTGTGGTTGCAAATAATAACACTACTGGGAATCAGTACTGAATGACTCCACTGACACTTACTACTACAAATTAACTGCAGGCATAAAAAAGGATGGGAAGACAACACTTTGAATTTTTAGTAAGTTTCTTTCTTGTTAGCTTTTGCTCTCTTCTTCTGTTTTCCCCATCTCATTCTTATCAATTCCACAATCCAAAAATAATGGCTGATCTCATTAACCAAAACAAATGGGTAAAGATGGGCTCTTCATAGGGCACTTTATATCCCATACAGAAAACTCAATTATTAGGGAAAATAAATAAAGATACTTTTAACACACACACAAAATCTGCATTGTTATACTAACACTGGTGAAATAGAGAAACTGGGGTTTCTACTATACCGCTATTAACTCCTCTATTTCTTACTCACTTTCGTGAGTGAACAGATGGATTGCCTAAAAAATGGCATAATCTAAAACAAATCAGAGGGAGAATACAGAACCTGTATTCAGGAAAACATAAACCCTCTCAAGTTTATGCAGCCTGCTTTTGATGCACCAGCTGACATTTTCTTAGTTCTGTGATATTTCTGGAATAATATAACTAACCTTCTTGGGCTTGGAGGGTTAAGTTACATTATAATCATGCAGAAAGCTATTCAAACACTGAGCTTGTAGAAAAGGAAGATAACCAGTTCTGCACCTGTGCAACATCAACAAATTTTCTATGCTTTTCTAGTAAAACTTTCGTTTCCTGAGCATCATCACCCAATCTGATGTGGGTCTTAAGCAGGGCATCCAGAAGTTCGCTTAGCCATTCTACCGCCTAAATAAAAAAATAAAGAAGAGTGACGCTGGATCCATAACTCTTATTATATCAAAACAACATGTTTATCAAAAGAAAAATTACTACCATGTGATTAATTAATCTATTAGTTATAACCCAAGTCCTTAATAGCTTATTTCATTTAAGAAAGCTACATGAATTAATGATCTTTCCACCCCCTCAAAATTTTTAAAATCTAAGGACAAGATATATTAAAGAGAAGCACTTTTTAAAAATAGCACATGATTCATATTAATAGATTGTGTGTTTTCCTTAATGTCCAAGCACTGGTATTACAGAAGACTGATGAATCACTGAACTCTACCTCTGAAACTAATAATATACTATATATTAATTAACTGAATTTAAATTAAAAAAAAAAAGATAGTGTGTTTATGTAATATGGATCTTACTGGAATCTCATTACAGATTATGTTGTTACTTAAAATCATAAAGTTCCTCTAGGTCAAGCTGCAATGATGTTCTCTGATGCTAATTACACAAAGACAGCATATAGTTTTCCTAGTGGAAAAACCCTCTTGCAAGTTAAAAAAGCCATGTGCTAAACCAGCCTTAATCTTAGCATGTAACTAACAAGTCAATAATAATAAATAATAAATAATCCCAATTTCTCACTTAAGAGAGGAGTTCATTAAGAAGATAAGTCATATGAGACCAGTAAAATAACTGGAAATTAAAAAACACTTTGTTATTTTAATAAGATAAACTAGAATTTGACTTAACACATTTACTTTCTTAGGACCATAAAAAGTACACTTTTTTAACAGGTGAAATCAATCTTTTAAGAGAAGACAACTACATCATGTGCCTGACTGATCTTTTACCTGGGCAGCATCCTCTTCACATTTAAACAACTGCACCATTTGAAGCATCTTTAACCTTCGCACATCCACCATGTCTTCACATCTAATAAACACAAACATAAGGCAGAACATCATTTCAGTTTCATTAATAATTATTTTAACATCATCATCTGGCATGCATGTTTTATAGTATACTAAAATACTTAATCCTATACACCATGGAGACTTCCAACTACTTGTACTGATTTGTAAGAATTTTAAGGATATCTATGTTACATCAAAATACTTCAAAACTTCAAAATACCTGAAAGATTCCTAATTACAAACCCCTGAGGACAGAATGGATTCTGTGAAATACTGAAGCAAAGCATCAACAAAGTAATACACTAAAACCCAAAGAAATCTCCATTGCCAGTTAGCATTAAACAAGCCTCAAAGATAAACATATGAAGTTTCTTAAATAATAATTTTGACAATGATGCGCCAAGGAAATAAAATAAAAACGTTCTGAGGAAAGATACTATATCATAATTAAAGGATCTATACAACAAGAATATCTAACAATTATATAAATATTTATGCTACTAACTTGAGAGCAGCTAATTACAAAAACCAATAACAAAATTAAAGAAACACATTGATAATAATACAATAATATTAGGGGACTTCAAAAGCCCACTCATTGCAATGGACAGATTATTTAAGCAGAAGATCAACAAGGAAACAAGGGCTTTGAATGACACACTGGAACAGGTGGATTCACAGATATATTCAGAACATTCCATCCTAAAGCAACAACTTACACATTCTTCTTGAGTGCACATGGAACATTCTCCAGAAAAGATCACATCCTGGGTCACAAATCAGGTCTCAACAGGTACCAAAAGACTGGGATTATTCTCTGCATATTTTCAGACCATAATGCTTTGAAACTTGAACTCAATTACAAGAGGAAATTTAGAAAGAATTCAAATACACAGAGGTTAAAGAGCATCCTACTAAAGAATGAATGGGTCAATCAGGATTGAAGAATTCAAAAAATTCATGGAAATAAATGAAAATGAAAACACTACTGTTTAAAACCTTCGGGATGCAGCAAAGGCTGTCCTAAGAGAAATATATAGCAATACAAGCCCTTCTCAAGAAACAAGAAAGGTCTCAAAACACAACCTAACCTTACAATTAAAGAGCTGGAGAAATAACAGCAAATAAAGCCTAAACCCAACAGGAGAAGAGAATTAATAAAGATTAGAGTAGAAATCAATGAAATAGAAACCAAAAGAATAGTAGGACAGAGCAACAAAACTAGGAGCTGGTACTTTGAAAGAATTAGTAGGATCAATAAGCCCCTGGCCAGACTTATCAAAAAGAAAAAAGACCCAAATTAATAAAATCATGAATGGAAGAGAAGAGATCACAACCAACACCAAAGAAATACAAACAATTATAAGAACATATTATGAGCAACTATATGACAACAAATTGGGCATTCCGGAAGAAACAGATGTATTCCTAAATGTATAAACTACCAAAACTGAAACAGTAAGAAATAGAAAACCTGAACAGACCCATAACCAGCAAGGAAACTGAAGCAATAATCAAAAATCTCCCAACAAACAGGAGTCCAGGGCTGGATGGTTTCCCTGGGGAATTCTACCAAACTTTTAAAGAAAAATACTTACTCTTCTGAAGTTGTTTCAAAAAACAGCAATGGAAGGAAAACTTCCAAACTATTTCTATGAGGCCGGCAACCTTGATCCTAAAACCAGACAAAGAGTCCACCAAAAAGGAGAATTACAGACCAATATCCCTGATGAACATGGATGCCAAAATTCTCACCAAGATACTAGCCAATAGGATCCAACAGTACATTAAAAGGATCATTCCGGGGTATCTGGGTGGCTCAGCAGGTTAAGTGTCTGCCTTCAGCTCAGCTAATGATCCCAGGAAGCTGGGATTGAGCCCCACGTTGGGTTCCCTGCCCAACGGGGAGTCTGCCTCTCGTTCTCTATCTGCCTCTTCCCCAGCTCATGCTCTCTCTCATGTGTACTCTCTCTCTCTCTCTTGCAAAAATAAATAAACAAAATCTTTAAAAAAATAAAAGAATCATTCACCACAACCAAGTGGAATTTATTCCTGGGCTGCAAGTTGGTTCAACGTCCCACAAATCAATCAACGTGATACACTACATTAATAAAAGAAAGGACAGGAACCATATGAGCCTCTCAATAGAGGCAGAAAAAGCATTTGAATAAATACAATATCCATTCTTGATTAAAACTCTTCACAGTGTAGAGATGGTGGCAACATACTAAATATCATAAAAGCCATCTATGAAAAGCCCACAGTGAATATCATCCTAAACGGGGAAAAACTGAGAGCCTTTCCCTTAAGGTCAGGAACACATTTGGGATGTCCACTCTCACCACTGCTGTTCAACATAGTACTAGAAGTTCTAGCCTCAGCAATCAGACAACAAAAAGAAATAAAAGGCTTCTGACATGGCAAAGAAGTCAAACTCTGACTCTGCATATGACATGATACTCTATGTGGAAAACCCTAGACTCCATCCCCAAAATTGCTAGAACTCATATAGGAATTCAGCAAAGTGGCAAGATATAAAACCAAAGCACAGAAATCAGTTGTATTTCTATACACTAACAATGAGACAGAAGAAAGAGAATTAAAGAGTCAATCCCATTTAAAATTGCACCAAAAACCATAAGATACGTAGGAATAAACCAAAGAGGCAAAGGATCTATACTAAGAAAACCATAGAAATGTCATGAAAGAAATTGAGGAAGACTCAAAGAAATGGAAAAACATACCATGTTCATGGATTGGAAGAAAAAATATTGTTAAAATGTCTATCCTACCTAGAAGAATGTATACATCCAAAGCAATCCCTATCAAAATACCATCAACATTTTTCACAGAGCTGGAACAAATAATCCTAAAATTTGTATGGAACCAGAAAAGACCCCAAATGGCCAAAGGAACACTGAAAAAGAAAACCAAAGCTGGCGGCATCACAATTCCACTTCAACCTCTATTATAAAGTTATAGTCATCAAGATAGTATGATATTGGCACAAAAGCAGACACATAGGTCATTGGAAAGAATAGATAACCCAGAAATGGACCCTCAACTCTACGGTCAACTCATCTTCAACAAAGCAGGAAAGAATGTCCAATGGAAAAAAGACAGTCTCTTCAACAAATGGTGCTGGGAAAATTGGAAAGCCACATGCAGAAGAATGAAACTGGACCATTTCTTTAAACCATACACAAAAATAGACTCAAAATGGATGAAAGACCTAAATGTGAGACAGGAATCCATTAAAAATCCTAAAGAACACAGGTAGCAACCTCTTCGACCTTGGCTGCAGCAACTTCTTGCTAGTCACCTCTCCAAAGGCAAGGGAAACAAAAGCAAAAATGAACTTTTGGGACTTTATTAAGATAAAAAGCTTCTGTACAGCAAAGAAAACAGTTGACAAAACCAAAAGGCAACCTATGGAATGGGAGAAGATAAATGCAAAAGACAGATCAGATAAAGGGCTAGTATCCAAAATCTATAAAGAACTTAGCAAACTCAACACCCAAAGAACAAATAATCCAGTTAAGAAATGGGCAGAATCAGCGGTGAGCCTGCTTCCTCCTCTCTGTCTGCCTCTCTGCCTACTTGTGATCTCTCTCTCTCTGTCAAATAAATAAATAAAATCTTAAAAAAAAAAAAAAAAGAAATGGGCAGAAGACATTAATAGGCATTTCTCCAAAGAAGACATTCAAATGTCCAACAGACACGTGAAAAGATGCTCAACATCACTCATCATCAGGGAAATACAAATCAAAACCACAATGAGATACCACCCTCACACTGGTAGAATGGCTAAAATTAACAAGTCAGGAAATGACTGATGTTGTCCAGGATGCGGAGAAAGGGGAGGCCTCTTACACTGCTGGTAGGGATGCAAGCTGGTATAGCCACTCTGGAGAATAGTATGGAGGTTCCTCAAAAAGTTGAAAATAGATCTACCCTATGACCCAGCAACTACACTACTAGGTACTTACCCCAAAGATACAGATGTAGTGATATGAAGGGGCACCTGCACTTCAATATTTATTGAAGCAATATTTATTGAAGCAGCAATGTGCACAATAGCCAAACTATGGAAAGAGCCCAAATGTCCATTGACAGATGAATGGATAAATAGGATATGGTATCTATATAGAATGGACAATGAATCTTGGAACACTGCGTCAAAAACTAATGATGTACTTTATGGTGACTAACATAACACAATTAAAAAAAAAAAGAATGAAAAAAAAATGGACTACTACTCAGCCATCAAAAAATGAAATCTTGCCATTTATAATGATGTAAATGGAACTAAAGGGCATTCATTATGCTAAGCAAAATAAGTCAGTCAGAGAAAGACAAGTGTCATATGATCTCACTCATATGTGGAATTTAAGAAACAAAACAGAGGATCATAGGAGAGGGAAGGGAAAAATTAAGATGAAATCAGGGAGGGAGATAAGCTAGAAGAGAGTCTTAATCATAGGAAACAAAATGAGAGTTCGCTGGAGGATGGGAGGTGATGGGATGGCATAATTGGGTGTTAAGGAAGGCACATGATGTAATAAGCACTTGGTATTATATATGTTGGATGAGTCACTGACCTCTACCTCTGAAACTAATAATACACCATGTTAATTAACTGAATTTAAATTTTAAAATGACAACAAACAATGTAAGTGTACAATAGAAAAATAAAAAATTATGGAATATTCATGGAAAACATATCTTTTATAGCAGTGTAAAGACTGACCTGCAATACATGAATTATTGGTATTGAATCTCTCAAACATAATCTGAGTTTTTTTTGAAAGGGCATTTTAATAAATCTTGAAAATAAGGAAAAAAAGTTAACACTTTTCATTATATTTCATCACCCAAAGTAATATCTAATTTTGAATTAAAAACAAACAAACAAAAAAACAAGAAAAAACCACCACTCCAACTATGTTCCAAAGAAGAAAAAAAAAAAACTCTTGATCTCTGGGTATAGAGAGACACAATTCAGAGTACTTTAAAATTTTAGTGTGGTCTGTCCTATATAATATACAACTGAATTTTCAAGGTGACTTTAGCTACCTCAGCTCTGATCTATTCGCTTTGTCCTCATGCAATTTCATGTATTTTAGAGGAAGAGTGAACTCACTACAATCTCAAACACTAATGACCAGTTACCCAGAAGGCACTGAGCTCCATGACAGTCAGTGTTCTTAAAGAAGGTGAATAATAATACAGAAACCATTGTCACAAGGCTATTTTTTATAAAGAACGCCCTTTATAAAAGCCTATAACATAGTACTAAAATGAATCTGGTTACAGTTATCCTACAAGGAACTAAAAGGAAGTGATGATTAGAAGTATTTTTAAAATCTGAAGATAAACAATGTAAGATTTTAATGATGAAGATGATATCATAAATATATTTAATGCATACTGTCAGGTGTCAGATAATGTGCTTCATGGTCTCAACTATTATGTTGGTCTCACTTTGGGCAGCAGAGTTCTAAACAAACAATGTGGTGAGGGCTACTATGGAGCTATGTAAAGAGTTCTATGGGAGCAGAGAGGAACAAGTAACTAATATGTCCTACAAATCTAAAAAGCCTTCCAAAAATAAGTATCCCCAAGTCTTTAAGAATCCAGCAAGTAGAAAATGAAGAAAGAAGTAGTCTAAGTCATAGATTCATGAAACAGCACGATGCATTCAAGAAAGTGAACAACTGTGTCTGTAAAAGTTGCAGGAGATAAGATTATATAGGATTGAATTATGAAGAATCTCCTACACTATTTCAAGGAGACTGAACTTCATCTGAGAAAACAGGAAATCACGGAGTGGGGTCTTATGATTAGATATGCACTTTACAATGATTATTCTCATGTACAACAGACTAGAGAGGATCAAGGCCAGAGGCAGATAAAAGAGAAGATTTTAAATAGACAATTTCAGGACTCAGAGATAGCAGAACTTAAAATATTTGATCGGGCTATACGGGGTGAGGAAGAGTATGGATTTTAGGATAAATCCCAAATTTGGTACCTGATACTAACTTTAACCTAGATAAGATATTAAAAAAGATCAAGGGGGGGCGCCTGAGTGGCTCAGTGGGTTAGAGCCTCTGCCTTCGGCTCAGGTCATGATCCCAGGGTCCTGGGATCGAGCCCCGTATCGGGCTCTCTGCTTAGCGGGGAACCTGCTTCCTCCTCTCCCTCCTGCCTGCCTCTCTGACTACTTGTAATCTCTGTCTATCAAATTAAAAAAAAAAAAAAAAAAAAAAAGATTCTCTCTCCCTTTCTCTCTGCCCCCTGCCTGTTCTTTTAAAAAAAAAAAAAAAAAAAAAGATCAAGGGGCCCCTGGGTGGCTCAGTGGGTTAAAGCCTCTGCCTTCGGCTCAGGTCGTGATCCCAGGGTCCTGGGATTAAGCCCCGTATCAGGCTCTCTGCTTAGCGGGGAGCCTGCTTCTCCCTCTCTCTCTCTCTGCCTGCCTCTCTGCCTACTTGTGATCTCTGTCTGTGAAATAAATGAATAAAAGAGAAGATCAAGTACCTGGACATACTAGGTTTGAGGAATGTGTGCAGCACCCACCTAGAGATACTAAGTAGGCCAAGTATAGTTATGGGTCCAAAGCATAGAACAGGAGTCTGGGTCAGAACCATAAATACTCAATCACAATCAAATAAGAGAAAGTCATTCAAGTAGTGAAACCATCCAGGGAGAACACATAGAATAAGACAACTGGGCCTCAAACCCTGAAAGCAGAGAAATTAGCTATAGGACAAGAAACCAGTGAAGAAGACTAAGAAGAAACAGACTGTTGGGATCATGAGGGTGTTTTCAGAAGACGACAAGGCTGTCAGAAAGTTTCAAGAAGAAAAAAGTCAGCTGTGTCCAATGCTATTCAGCGTGATCAAGCAATGTGAAGACCAAAAATACTCCCTGGATTTTTAGCAAGATCAAGAATTTATTACATGATAATTACAAAGTCACTGGTGATATCAGTAAGAGCAAGTTCAGTGAAATAGTGAGGGTAGAAGTCAGACTGAGGAGGGTTGAAAAGTTAATGGGAGGCAGTTAGGAAATAGTATGAGTGTAGATTAGACCTTCAAATGACTTAGCTATTAGGAAGGAGAATTCTAGGGCTAGAAGAGACAAAGAAAGAGTTGAGGAGGAAAGTATATGCATGTGTGTGATTTTTTTTTTAATGAGATATTTAAGCATTTAAATGAGAGGCAGAGATCAGAGTAGAGAATGAGAGTAGACAGGAAAGACATGAGGGTACATGACTTATTAAATACAGAGCTACAGCATCCTTTGTGATTAGAATAAAATAATGAAATGGGTAAGTTTGCATGTGAGGCTAGAAGGAATTCCTCACTAATGAGTATTTTCTCTGTAATGTAGAAATAGTTTCTGTGAGGTTTTGTTGATATCCTAAAATTTTTAAGTGTCCAAAAATTTCATAAACCATGCTACACCGTATATATTTTCATATATTAATTTAATCCTTTACTTTGTAATGTTCTCTCAGGTGCTACTGCAAATTGAATATTCAAAGAATCCTTTAAATTCCTGCCTCTATATGAAATAAAACTAAATAGCCTCTTGCCCAGAGTCCACTATCTAATCCTTTCAGAGCACATATGAGTACAATGCTAGTGTGACAATTTGTGAGAACTGTAAATGAAGAAACTGATGAAAGTAGATGACATATTTAATAGCAACTCTAAACCAAATAAAAACAGAAAATCAAAATTCTCCAAAAAGGGTCTTCTTAAAAGATGAAAGGGTCATAGGCTATAGTAGAGATATGGAATGCAAAGTACTTGGGTGTAACTAAAATTTTACCACTGAATTAAAAAGGGGAAAAGTACCATTAGTTGAACAAATTGTCACAATTTGTTAGTACAATTATATACAACAATTACATTCACCAAAACTTACTACATGCCTTCTATATTAACAGGTTAGAACTTCTATTTTGTATGGAAAACATAAATTATATCACTTCTCATTTTAGCAAAAATTAACATTAACAGTCAAACTTTGCCTTTGTTTCCTAAGCTGCATATCTTCCATCACTCCTTGTATGTGGTCCACATTTTCTTTATTTTCAATGGTTACATCCTTTCCATAGGCCCAGGATGCCTGATTGGAGATCTGATCCAGAAGTCCTTGACCTTTTTCACGCAAACCTTGTAATCCTACATCTAAAACAAAAGTTCCTAGATTTAATCTCTTAAACAAAGGAGGTGCTTTCCCTCCCTCAAGGAAATCCCCTCAGCAGATACTGTACTCGGGATTCTACGCACTGATAGCTTTGTATGTTAAACTACCTTGGGAGGGGGTTCTCTGAACACTTCAAGGAACAAACCCATTTAAACGTGGTTCAAATTGAGCTCCCTCTCATGCCAAATTCTGCCTAAAGATAATTTCCAAAAGGTGAATTTCCATTGATGATACTTATTTTTGAAAACTGAAAGCAGGAAGAAAATGTGAGTTCTATTTTGATTAGTAATATTTTTCAATTTGTTTCCTTTGTGCTTCTATGTAGTCCAATTTTTAAGAGAACACGCCAAACATTTTGTTCAAGATAATGTTTAAGAGTTACAAGACTTCAAAGCATTCAAGCAATGCAATATCACTGAAAAATGATGCTGAATATTTTGAGTTCAGGCATCTTCCAGCTTACACCTAATGAGAGGGAACATTTAGGATAGATTTACAGTACTCCAAACCAACAAGCACACAGGAATTCCTTTCTTTTTTAAAGGAGAAGTATGGTTCTAGAAAGCTTCTGATCCTTTGAAATAAATTGCATTTGGCAAATTAAATACAAAATATGTATTATGCCTATCATGTGTTAAAATAACAAAGGCTGCAAACAAATGCCCATACAAACATGATTTTTCAAACGCATTCCCTCAAATCCTTTTCAATAATTAATTAATTTGGTTCAATCATGTGTCACCATTTTCTACTAAGTCTGTCTTAGGTTTCTGCTTCCTCACCTCCATTCATTCCCCTTTGCCCTCCTATCCCACCCAGAACAACCCTTTCTTCCCTTTTGTACATCCACTATCTCCTCTCCAGTCATGACCTAGGGAAATTCACTGTACTTCCTTCCTACTGTAGTAAAATGTAAAGTGTCAAGTGAAATGGGATCATCCTCCCCTTGGGAGAGTAGGTAACCTTGGCAATATTCCCAATTTGGAGAAACAAATGCACAGAACCAAACCAACTATTTATTCACAAGGTTAGGATATAGCAACAACCAAAATCATTGCATAAAACACAGTTTTGGGGCATACAGGATTTACCACAGAACACTTCACAGCTAATTACAGCTTATGCATGCACTACAAATAACTGTTCGTAGTATATGCAAGACATAGCACCTATAGATATAGCTGGGTAAAGAAGAAAGGCTAAAGGCCCAATGAAGGAAGGGTGACAGACCATCAATGAAAAATAGGAATTTTAGCATGTATTACACCCTTCAAGAGAATAAAACCTATTTTATACTATTTTTTCCTGTGTTTTCTATAAATAATTATAATTAGCTCAGTGTGAGTTGACTTCTCTAACCATAGTAATGATATTTCTTAAAAAAGAACCTTATGTTTCAGCATTTTTAAAATCTGCTTACCAACACTTTTCAGCTTCTCTTCAAGCAGTTTTAAAGTCTGCTGAATCGATGCTCCATCAGCTGGTGCTACATCTACGCACAACATCCCTAATAAGCCATCCAACTGCTGAGACAACTAAAGCAGAGGGACACCAAAGAGATAACCCTGATGTGATCAGCATCTAAAGTGTTTAATGATTAATGAGGTTTATATCTAATGAGGTTATCACAATTACACTTGAAAAAGTCTATGCTGTTAAAAGACAAGGACCAATAATTAGAATACATGTTATCTGAAAAGACAGAACACACAGAGGCATGCACCAAGAAGACAAAGATTTATATCCAGGTAAGCAGAATGTAGGAAAGTACTCAAACGTCCATTGCAATCTATGTTATAAAGCATAAACAGAGAAATGATCAAAATGAAATATATCTAAGTTCAAACACTATTTAGACAAAAAATGTTTAGTTGCATGCAAAATGACTTAAAAATGAAAAGAAAATTTTTAAAAAAATCAAAGACTTTTATCATCTCCCCACGACTAAATTATTTTATTTTTCCAGAAAAATAATTAGGAGACATGCAAACCTGCAAAATTTATGTGCAGATAAGTGTTCAGATCATTTGAAGAAAAGAAAAGCAATCAGAGTAGACACTTACATCTTGGGCAACACCATGAAATTCAAGAGCTGCTTGTAAGAGATTCTGCCTAAATTCCAGTTGACTGGCCTGTCGATAGCAAACATCACTAAGTTGTTGCTGCAGTGACTTCAGTTCCACAAGATCTTCCTCGTCCCCAGCATTTAAGAGTGCTGCAATTTGCTGATTAAGTTCCACATACACTGCAAACCATTCCTGTAACACACATGTTGTAAATTAAGGATCAAATTGGTTCCTGAAGAACTGCACCACATTTTACAATTCTTCCAGATAAACTAAGTAACATATATGATAATTCTGTAAGGCAGAATTACTTAAAGTGAGGATGAGAAGTCCCCAACCCCCAAATCCTTTCACATGACTCCCAGAACTCACTCTTACCAACGTCAGTATCTATCCTGTATCTTCACTCTTGTATCTAAATGGTTCCTTTGTTGTTCTACCTGAAACCTGTCCATCCTCAGAGAAAATTATTACCAGACCATTTCTTCTCTCTTTCTCTTAAAACCTACATCTCCTTTAAAGTGCATGCTGTTGGATAACATCCTTCCAAACCTTTCCCATTAAGCACCTTCTTCCAGGGAGTTTGGCAATGGTCACGGCCCTCCACTCTGGGTCAGCGTTTCCACGGACTCCCACCATGTACACATCCATGAAGCACTCTTAACTCTGTCTCCTGATTCCCTCCCTCACTTGCAACCATCCTGTCCCTACCCCAAATCAGCTACCTACTCCAATACATGTAAATTCTTGTCGTAATCATATATTACCATACAGCTCCCAAAGCTTCAAGAATCTCATTCTCTAACCACCAGCTACTGACTCTCTTGGTAACACTCTTTAGGACACTCACTCCTACAGCTCCATGAGACTGCCCAATCCACTGACCTAATTGTTTCATGGCCCAGCACGAAAGAGTCTCACATCCTCACTTCTGTCTTTGGTCAGAGGCTATAATCACCTCCCAGAGCATAACCCATACTCATGCCCTGCTCTCTTCCTTCCTTCCAATCCACCTGTCAAGACCTCAGACCTGGTATGTCTGCCTACTGTATACCTACACCAGAGCAGCAATATGGCTGGATAATAACAATGATGTGAACAGGTGTCTTTTTAAAGTTATAGTGTATATAAATATATAGACTCTCTCCATATAAAAATATATAAAGTATATAAATAACCTCAAATAGACCTTCAGCAATCCTATTACATTTCTCTAGTCAATGCATTTTCCCACTCTCATGATTATTTGTTTTTTTCACTCCTTAAATCTCCAACTCCCTTTTCCCCTCTTCGTTCCCAGCCAAAACTCTAACTTCATTTTCTCTCTGACAAACCTATGACTCTCCCTCATTTCTGCAGCCCTATGCTTCGCCCTCCCCACTAAAATAGCAGATGAACCGTCCCTGGTTCTAAAGTAGCCACTTAACTTGCACTCTCTGTCCTCTATTGCCTACACAAGGCTCTGCCCTTGCACTTATCTTTTCTCTCCCATCATCAATTCATTCTTCTTAACTGGATTATTTCTACCAGCATGCAAATAAGGTGCAGTATCTTATATTTAAAAACAGAATTGCACTCAAGACCAAGGCTGTCCCTTAAAGGAATACTCTATACTCATTCTATCTCCTATTTCCCATTCCCTTTTTAACCCATTCTCATCAGGATTTTGTCCTTCCTGCTCTTAGCAAATTCCCAGTCCTTATCTAATTTGGGTCTCTCAGTTGCATTTAACATAGGCAACCACTTCCTTCTTGAAATGCCTTTTTCTATTCTTTCCTCAGACACAACAGTTCTGCTGCCCTCCTTCTGCTTCTTGTCCTCTAAATTTAGGAGTGACCTGGGGTTCAGTTTTCCAAAGGCTCTTTTCTTCTAAATTAGTACTCTTTGGGCTTGGATGAGTTCGTCTGGTCCCATGCCTTTAAATAACATCTATATGCTGATAATTCCCACATTAATATCCTCACCTTGTCCCCTTCCCTGAACCCGACAGTGATCCTCAAGTGTCCACCAACTATCTCCATTTGGATGAGTATTAGACATCTAAAATTTAACCTGCCCCTAAAGCTACTAATTCTGTAGAATCCCACCTGCTTCTCTCACAGTCTTCCCCAACTTAAGAGTGGCTAAGGCCAAACACCTGATTCTTCCAAGAGCAAGACTTGCTGGCTCAACCTCAGCAATGTGACAACTGCTTACTACATCTACTGCCTCCATGCTATTAGTCTCCAGTCTATTAGTCTCCAGTCTTCCTGTTTTGTTGTTTGTTCCTAGTCCTTATTTTCCACATGTTAGCCAGAGATCTTTTTATTTATTTATTTATTTATTTTTAAATATTTTATTTATTTATCTGACAGACAGAGATCACAAGTAGGCAGAGAGGTAGGCAGAGGGCGGGGTGGGGGGGGGGGGGAGCAAGCTCCCTGTTGAGCAGAAAGCCCGATGCAGGGCTTGATCCCAAGATCCTGGGATCATGACCTGAGCCGAAAGTAGAGGCTTTAACCTACTGAGCCACCCAGGTGTCCCCAGAGATCTTTTTTTTTTTCTTTAAAGATTTTTATTTATTTATTTGATAGAGGCAGAGAGGCAGGCAGAAAGAGAGGAAGGGAAGCGGGCTCCCTGCTGAGCAGAGAGCCTGCTCGGGGCTCGATCCCAGGACCCTGGGATCATGACTTGAGCTGAAGGCAGAGGCTTTAACCCACTGAGCCACCAGGTGCCCCTCCCAGAGATCTTTTTAAAAACATGTATCACACAGACCTGTACCCCTGGGGCTAATAATACATTATATGTTAATAAAAAAAAAAAAAAAAAAAAAACATGTATCAGTTCTCGGCTCAAAAATCCCTCCAATGCGCCTGGGTGGCTCAGTGGGTTAAAGCCTCTGCCTTCGGCTCAGGTCATGATCCCAGGGTCCTGGGATCGAGCCCCGCATCGGGCTCTCTGCTCAGGAGGGAGCCTGCTTCCTCCTCTCTCTCTGCCTGCTTCTCTGTCTACTTGTGATCTCTGTCTGTTAAATAAATAAATAAAATCTTTAAAAAAAAAAAAATCCCTCCAATGATTTCATGTAACATTTAAAATGAATGTCAAGGGGCGCCTGGGTGACTCAATGGGTCCTGGGATCGAGGCCTGCATCAGGCTCTCTGCTCAGCAGGGAGCCTGCTTCCCTTCCTCTCTCTCTCTGCCTGCCTCTCTGCCTACTTGTGATCTCTGTCAAATAAATAAAATCTTAAAAAATAAAATAAATCACAAAGGGTGCATGGGTGGCTTAGTCGTTTAAGCATCTGCCTCAGCTCAGGTCATGATACTAGGGTCGTGGGATCAAGCTCCATGTCTGGCTCTCTGCTCAGTGGGGAGTTTGCTTCTCCCTCTCCCTCTGCCTGCTGCTCTCCCTGCTTGTTCTCTCCCTGCCCCCCCAAATAAATAAATAAAATCCTTAAAAAGAAATAAAATAAATGTCAAGTTCCCTTTTGTGGGCGAAATTGACATGATTTGGCTCCAGACTCCCTTAGAAACATTGTTTTGTATGACTCCTTACCTTGCTCACTGCACTGCAACACCAACATAACTTGTTGTTCCATTACAATATAAGTAAGCACCTACCTACAGTATTTTTTTTTAAAGATTTTTATTTATTTATTTGACAGACAAAGATCACAAGTAGGCAGAGAGGCAGGCAGAGAGAGAGGAGGAAGCAGGCTCCCTGCCGAGCAGAGAGCCCGATGCGGGGCTCGATCCCAGGACCCCGGGATCCTGACCCGAGCCGAAGGCAGAGGCTTTAACCCACTGAGCCACCCAGGCGCCCCCCTACCTACAGTATTTTTACTTCTGTGTCTTCAATCTGAACTGCCTTTTGCTTGAATTACTCCTTCACATCATTTCAAGGTTTCTGATTAAATGTGATCTCAGAGAGGCCTTTCCTAAAAGCCTTGCCTTACCTTCTCTCCATTCCCTTTTTTCCAATATGAATTTAAATTCCATATTATAAGACAGTGCTATAAAGCCAAGAGTCTAGAACATGTGACATTTACTATGTGTTCAGTTAACATGTAGCGAATGAACATATAAAACACTTCATATCAGATACTATAGATTAGCTGACATTAAATTAAGTAGGTAATAGGTACTGCTCTAAATGTGGTCTACTCTTGTGCCCTGTACCTAAAACTTGGGTTTCTCTATTTTTTCATGTTGTTTTATTGCTTGAACTACTATGAAATTTCTGAATATTATTATATAGACAATGTAGTCAGATGTAGAGAAAAGAACAATGGATCTGAAAGACAAACTCAAGGTCTTTTTTCCTTATAAAGGGTGTCATCTTCATTAACTCATTTATCTCTCAGAACCTGGTTTTTTGTTTGTTTGTCTGTTTGTTTTTCCTTTCGAGCAGTGATTTTCAACTGGGGGCTATTTTGCTTCACAGGGATTATTTTGCAATATCCAGAGACATTTTTGGCTGTCACAATGGAGAGAGCGCAATGCTGATGCATCCAGTGGGTAGAGGCCAGTGATGCGGCTAAATGACCCGATAATGCACAGGATAGCCACTACAACAAAGATCCATCTCTGCCCAAAGTGTCATAGGGCCAAGACTGAGAAACCCTGTTCTGTACAACAGTGATGATATCATCTGTCTTACCTACCATATTGGTTATTGTATAAATTAATTACATAATACTATGTGTAAAATACTTTTGGAACCATAGAGTGATTATAAAGGTTAACGGAGGTGGATTTAAAGCAGAAAATACAACTTGAGAAAAATATCACAGTAGTGTTCTAAAATAAAAAGGGATTTCACAGTATTCTCTATAGTACTTGTAAATTTAATTAATATTCTAAACGAATAATTAATCCAATTCTCTGAAGAAGTAAGGGTCATGATTCAAAGAAAAATAGTAAGCTAAAGGATTAGCATCCTGGGTCACCATGTCTTACAGTGAGAACTATCTATATCATAATACCAGGGTGCTTACTAAAAATACCAAAGCTCCACCCCTGACCTACTAAGTCAGAGTCTGTGGACATATGGCTCTGTGACAGGCAGTTTAACAGTCACTTCAGGTGACTCCTAGGACCACTAAGGTTTAAGAACAACCATCCTGGGGTTGATTTTTTTCCTAGTCTGAACCTATAAAATAAAGGCCCTAATAACTAGAACAAGGAGGTAAACAATTTAAGAACTAGTATTTTTC